CCTTCTGACCATTTCAGCTCCTCAACTTCCTTTTCCTCCTTCTCCCAGGCACTTTCAATTGCCTTGTCTGTCATCTTTTCCCTACTCCAAACCACATAACAGGCTACCTCTTCCTTGCCTGCAGACCTCTCGCCCAGCACAAAACAAACGTACCTGGAAGCAGCAAGGAAACGTGAGCAACAGATAAGAACTGGAAAGCAGTCGCCCCGGAGGGTACAGACAACAGCTTCAGCCAGGAACTGCAGCATAAACGCGACCCAAGGCTGGCCTGGTAGCACCCTGCTCACGCAGCAGCTGATCTAAGAGGCCTGACTGACCTCACCTATCGGGCCGGGCTGAGGACCCACCGTGCCAAAGCTTCTCCCCAACACCTCTACGTATTGAGCTTTTTCTGCCGAGTTCATTTTCCACCCTCAAACCAGTTCCCCCTGGCAGCAGCCTTGCCTGCCCTCTCCCTTCTTTATGCCAGGCAGGAAAAAGCACGGAGTAGCTCCCTTCAGGAGCAGTATTGGTTTTAAGGGCTTGTGCAAGTACCATACACTCCCGAGTCTGGAAAAGCCTCTTCTCGTTTGGCTGAGATGGTTTGTTTTCGCGCTCATGTTCAATTACTCTCTGATTATTGAAATGTGACTTTAGCAGCAGCTAGGAAGGCAAGATTTCCTCTCGTCTCATTGCCATTTTCTAATTAAATCTCCTAACGACAAAGAGCTTACTAACATACATCATTTGGAAACATGTTCTTAGTTCAGTGATGAAGGCAGTGGAAGCGATAGGTTAGAGCTGAAAATTACATATATCCAGACAGTCGTACTAGACCCTCAGAAGGCAGCTCTAGACTGAACTTTCTTGCCATGCAATTTAATTGAACCCCTCTTGTCTAGAAAGGCATCAGTATTACTAGCCTCTGCATAGCTGATAAGAAACAGATGTTAAATGTCTCTGAAGAGCCAGCCAGAGAATTATTCCTTAGGAAGGCTACATAAGGATAGAAAAGAGAGGCCCATATAGAAATGGTGTCAAAACAAATTTAGCAGGTTTGTATTAAGGAGCATTTAGCCACTTAAAAGCCAGAGGCAAGTCACAATATTGCTGTTCTCCAGACATTAGCTCTAGGGCCTGAATGTCCTTGATACAATCAGACAAGTCAGATCACAAGCAGAAAAGCCCTAGCAACATGAAGAACACTCAATTGTATTTGAAATGCTTTCCCCTGCCTTTCAGGCAGTTTTCCTGGTGCAAGAAGTTCCCAAGCAGGCTCTGCAGATTGCTAACCATCACACAGCAAGGAGAACTCCTTCAGGTTATAGCTCTCTTCAATTCATGCAAGTGTGTTAAAGCCACTAATACACCCCTGGCTTCACATTAGACTCTAAAGCCTTTAGGACAACTGCTAAACCTGTAATTGATTTTGTAGAAGTAGAAAAGAAGGCTAAGAGAGAGAAAGAAAGAAAGAGGAAGATTTTTTCTTAATGTTTTCAAGTCATTCCCTGCTGCTAAACATTCGATAAGCCTCCCAGTGCAGAAGCAATTCTCCCCTTCCAAAACTCTGTATGACCCTCTATTTCTCACTGCCCTCTTCGGGGTCTGCACAGCTGTTTATTCTGCCTTTCACTTTTTATAATGGATGTTAGGAATGCTCCAAGTACATATTCAATTTACAATAAAAACCGCTTTAATAACAGAGCCTAACTTGACGGAAGGTCAACTGGAAGACACGAACACGCATGAAGCAAAGCCTCCCGCGCAAGCCCCAGGATGCCACGCAGCCTGGCCCGGCGCCTGCCTGCCTGCCAGCCGGGCACCGGCGGATGCGGCACCGAGAGGCGCCCAGTCCCATCACACACGGGCACCCCGAGCCGACCCTGRGCCACCGGCAGGAACGGAGACACGGTGCGGGTCCCTTCCAGGGCCTCATCCCAGCACAGACCATGAACAGACCCGAGCGGCAGCCAGGCAGGCTCAGCGCAGCTCCCACWCGGCCCAGGGAGGTGACGCGCAGGCAGCAGGGACACAGCGGCCGGGAGCACGACCCGCCGTGGGGCAGAGGCAGGCGGAGGAGGCACCATCCCGGCCGCGCTGCTATCAGCTCCTCGGGAGCAGATGAGGCACTACCAGCGCGCCGGGGCCACGAGCTTCACTAAACAACAACCGCCCCAACCCCTGCTCGCCAACACCCGCTCCGCTCTTCCCAGCTCCATTCCTCTCCAAGAAAAGGGCACTCAGCTCCATCGCACCTCCATTCACACTGCAGCCACTGCTCTCTCTCAGTCCTCGCCTGATCCGGGGCCAGCAGCAGCAGCAAAGCAGGCGGGAGCACGAGCAGAGCGYGGGAGCCGCGACCAGACCGCGCACGGGTGCCCCCACAACCTGCTCCCCTTCCCACCCGGCAGCCCTCCTCTCTCCCCGCGCTGCCTCGGGATCATTATTGCAGCCCGATTTGCCATTTACAGCCGATCTGCTGTGGCAGGACCTTACGGCGGCTCCGCTGCTCCATTGGAATCACCAATAAATCACCAATTACTATGCATGAATAGAGAGAGGGAGAGGGTAATGAGTCTATGTACATGTATACATATGCAATGTTTGAACACAAAGAGCTGTAAATTGCATTCACAGGTGGTATTCTGGGTACTGCGGGAGACTCGGAAACAGAACTATTCATAAACCAGTCACCAACATGAATGAATTCAGCATTCCCCAGTAGCCTATTGTGCTTCCTATATATTACACAATAAATATGAGTACTATCAGACTATGCATTCCTGCAAAAAAAAAAAAAAAAAAACAACAAAGGTAAATCTTGCACCTACACACAGGATTAGCACTGGCTGGCACAAGTATTAATGGTCTCATCACTGCATGAGGATTATTTACAGCACTTGCTCTATTTTCCCATTTTGTACTTGCTGTGATGAAGTGCCACTTGTTTAAAGATTCCTGTAACAAACACTGCAACAAGAGGGGGAAAAAACAGCAGAGATCTTACACACGTTACACGCGCATTCCAGATGTGGGGTTTTCCACCCTGCTTTTGCAGTTACTTGGATTCTGTTAGCTAGTTAAGGCTTGACATATCACACTCAATCACCCACCAACTCTTTCCATAACCACAATCCCTCCTTTAGTGATGGGTTTGCAAAAGGATAGGGAAAAACTGAGTTGTACTTCTTTTTCAGTATAGTCACCCACAGTACCTTTGCCTTATCTCACAGCATTAATATTAACATTACTTGTTTGGAAAGCTGCAGGGTTTTTGTTTATTTGTTTTTTTAACCATCCAGTCACAGACTTCTATTATGAAGTAAAGCTCTTTACTCCAACCTTTCTCCCCAAAGCCAAACGACACCTTGATTTGAAAAACAGCAACTTGAAGCACTTTTGAGCAACTGCAGCCTGGGAGGCATCATCAGATGAGGTTACATTAAAGTCAGCCGCATGGCAAATACACATCACCTGTTTCAAGAAGACCAGGTGAAAAAACAACAAAAGAAAACATAATTCCAAGTGCACACACAGCACACTGCCTAGTGTGTATTAAAAAAATAAATAAATAAAAACAAAAAAAAAGCTTTATATTTAAATTAAGGGGTACGTGGCACAGAGCTTTTACAAAGAAGGTGCGTACATGGGATTTGGGGCCTGCAGAAAAGCAGCCAGCTCTCAGGGTGATGGAGACCCCTCGCAYCTAGCCTGCTGCAGCGGACGAAGGGAAGTCGCGCCAAGCCCTCGGTCAAAACCAGGGCGCTTCCTCTGCGAGCCGGGAGCACCGCTCCCGCTGGCACCAGCGTGGGCAGACACGAAGCACAGTGACCGGAGGCAGCGGGGCAGGAGGGCGCCTCGCTCGGACACCTCCAGCGAGGCGATGCCCTCTGCTGCTGCAGCACCGAATGGGCCAGTGCCGGCCGCACCGCGCGCACGCTCCCCACTGGGGAGGCCCCATCCAGAAGGGAGTGTGGAGCAGAGGGACTCAGTGCCCCTGGCAAGCCAGGCAGCAGTGCCGCTTCAGCTCTTCTACCCACTACTGGGGCAGACTGCCTGCGACCGYGCATCAAAGCCGTCCAGGATAAACTCGGCTTTCGGAGGCTGTCCAGCGAACTGGGAGGAGAAAACCGCTGGTTATGGGAAGTTTGAACACTCTCCAAAGCCACTGCAAAGGGTTATCTTTCTTTGTCTTCCCTAAAGAGAGGCAGGCAGTACGAAAAGCCACATGTGCCTGCACACACACACACAAATTAGAGACGTGGAAGCACGGCTGCAATTCAAGCAAAGACACAGCTCCCAGATTGGCAGAACAGGCGTGTGACAACTCTTAAGATAATAAGATTGTCAGCTCTGCTCCTTTTCCTTCTGGAGCACGAACGCTGGCAGAAAAATCTGACTAATAAAAAGGCAAATCAAAGCAAACGCCAAGGCTTCCCCGGATACGTGCTGGCAGAAAGGAGGGTGAAGGTGCTGCACTGTATTTTCCACTAACGCTCCTACTGACTCATTAGCACTAAAGTAGGCACACGGGCTGTTGCAAAGACACACAGAGACGTGTTTCAACCGCCTCGCACCCGGCGCCTCCCGAACGGCGGGCCACGGAGCGGGCGCTGCCTCGGCCCCGCTCGCCGGGCAGCGGGAGCCCGAGCGCTGCCCGGCCCCGCGCACCGGGACGAGCCCCGCTGCGCCGCGGGCAGCACCGGCGGGGCCAGCTTGGCGGCGACGCCGCAGGGCCACCCGGGAGCCGGGGAGCGGCGCTGCCTGACCCCCAGCTCGGGGGCTGTGTGTGGGGCTGCCTTTCCCCCCGACCTCCCCGCGCAGCTCGGGAGCCCCCGGCGGCGCCTTCCCCGCGCGGAGCCGAGCCGGGGCGCCCGCCCTGCGCGCGGGGCGGCAGCCCCATCCCGCGAGCGCGCGGCTGAAACGGGGCCCCGCGCTCCGCTTAACACCGCGCACGCACACACACACACACGCGCGGAGCCCGCGAGGGTCCCTCCCGCGCCCGCGGCGGCCGCACTTACCCAGCAGGAGCAGGGAGGCGAGCTCCGGCCGCAGGGCCCGCATGGCTGCCGGCCGCGGGGGCGCGGGGCGGCGGCGGCGCCTGCTCAGCGCCCGCGCTCGGGCCGCGCGCTGCCGGGGCGGGCGTCGCGCCGCGCCCGGCGGCACAAAGGCGGGCAGGCGGCGGCGGCACCGGCAGCGACGCGGGCACGGGCAGGCGCCGCGGGGGGCGGGCGCATCGCCCCCGCAGCGAGCGGCCGCCCGCCCCGGCCGGGGGCGGCCGCCTCCCGCCACGAGGCGGCGCGGGCTGGGGCCGCCTCGGCTGCGGCGCCGGAGCCGGGGCGACAGCAGCAGCAACAGAAAGAAGAGCGGCGGGGGAAAAAAGGGAAAAATAGAAAAAAAAAAATGCAGGGAGCGAGCAAGTCCTCCTGCGGAAAGTTGTAAAAACACCCCCGGGGGGCCGCACGCCTCCGCTCCGCTCCGCACTGCCTGGCTCCGCTCGGCGCGGCCGCCCTCACCTGCCCGCGCGGCCGCCCGGTGCGCGGAGCGCGGCGCTTCCTCGGCGCGGCGCGGCGCGGGGAAACCCCGCCCCGGCCCGGCCCGGCCCGCCCCCCGCCGCCGCCGTGGGGCTGGCAAGGGGGCCGCAGCCGGCACTGGGGCTGGGCGCTCCGCGGAGCGCAGGGGGTGGCTGCTGGTGCTGCTGCTTTGTGCTTGAGGGGGGAGCGGCCCTCGCTGCCCCCCGCTCCTGGGGCTGCCTGCGGAGCGCCGGGAAAGCGGCGCCTTTTGTTCCGCCGCGGAGCGGAGCGCGGCGGCGGCTCCGCAAGTTTCGGCCGAGTTGTGGCCGCGCCGGCGCCGCTGCCCGCCCGGGAAACACGAACACGCGCAAAGGCGGCCACGCCGGGGCCGGGGGTTACGGTGTTTGCAACTGCAAGAGGAATGAGAGAGGCTTTCTCCAGGGCGCAGACATTCAGATGTCCTTGCAAGCCAATCCCCCCGTGGCCTGTTTGTTCGTGAAGTGAGAAAAGAGACCACGAGCAGCAGAGGTAGAGGAGCGAGGTCGCGTCTGAGAGCTCAGATCCTGCCGGGACCCTGCACGGGACACCCTGCTGCTGGCGTGCGCAGCAGGGAATGTGTCACAGAGGAGGAACCCAACCGGTCAGAGCTGTACAGAGTGGCAGAAACCAGTGTGACACCAAAACACCTCTTCAACCGCGTCRAGTCCCGGGGAGCTGCACGCAGCAGAGGCCGAGCAGGCACTGTGCATGTCCCCATAAGGGCTGGTTTCCCGGCCTGGCTGCCGTGGCGGATGCGCTGGGAGCAGGCACACTGGTAGCTGGCRCCTAGGGACCCAGCCAGCTCCACCATGGCTTCACATTATTAGTCCGTGGAAACATTTTCAGAGTGGGGGGTCTGACTTGCAGCTTCATCCCACACTCAAAACACAGCAGCCAGCGTACAGAACAATCCGAGAAGCACAGAAGAGAAAGGGTTAGCATTATATTCGCRCTGAAAATGAGGCTCACGCTTTGGCCCTTAAGCTTCAATTACATCAAGACCGTCTTCAAGACTTGGAAAAAGAACAGAGGTGGTGATAAGGGTTGATAGAACATACAGTCTATTTGCCCTTTCTCTCAGATGATTTTAGGGCTGCAGCGTCATTCAGGGTAAAATCACTGAGCCTACTTAGTATTTCTCGCATGCAGTCTGCTGCTATATGTCCTCATAGACATGCCCATGAGTATTTAGAGCAAGCTCTGTGGGGCTATTTTGAAGTAAACTTTGAGCATCTTTAAATGGGTAAAGATCTTTCATCCAAATGCTTCAAGAGTTTTATAACTATAGAAATAAATACTGGCAAAGGAAAAAACGTTACTTAAGAAATACAAGACACGGGACAGGAAAAAAGCATCTTTCAGGATAAATTTACAAAAAAAAAAAAAGTTTGAGAAAGGAAGCCTTTTCTAGAGGGCGTGGGTTATAGACTGGTGACCCACTACATCCGTGCATGTGCAAACTATCTCCATCCCAAACAGAGGAGACAAGATGGAGCAAGGCAGGGAAGAAAACATAAGCAGAAGTGATTCAGGCAAGCTCACTGAGCAGGTCAGGGACAAGCCAGGAGCCCAAGCCTGGTTTCTTGGCTCCAAATGCTTTTCTTGAGCAAGTGATGCCTGTTGCAATATAATTCAAGATGAATCTGGTACATTCTTACTATTTACGGGCACTGGGTGACTTCACAACATATGAGCCTAACAGGAGCATAAAAATGCACTGCAAAATGTTATCAGCAATTCACTAAGCATGCACATCCTCTTCTCAGAGCACTTGCAGGGTATTGCATTAATGCATAGTAACAATAAAAATATAAAAAGACCATGGAAATGACATTATAGCATTAGAAGATTAATCCAATTCCAGTCAAATTAGATTATAATAAGCACTGTGTGAGCTAAAGACTTAATGGGAACCTGTGTTTCAAAAGCCTCATCACCTTTGCACTTGCTCGCCTCCCTGACCCCAGTAAAAAATAGCTTAGCAATTGTACGAACACCTTTCATCAGGGAACTTTGCAAACACTCATTAGTCTTTTGTGGAAAATCTTGTCCTCACTATGATACCAGCAGGGAAACTGAGGCTCGGAAGGCCACTTTCTGGATTCCAGCATGAGCCCTGGCTCAAGCGTTTCCAGCTCTCGCAGCGGGTTGTGGCTCCCTGGGGACATGCGTCCGCCCGTGCGGTTTGTTCGTGTGACTAAGCAAGCTCCAACAATGCAGACACTTGAAAGACAAGAGTGTCTCAAGTCCAAGGTCGCGTGAAGAGGCTTTCCAGGAAGGCGGATCYGGACGCCGAACACAAGCAGGTCATTCACAAGCGCTGTCTCCAGAAGCAGACGGATCATTGTGGCCGGGCCGCGCGGCTGCTGCTTGGCAGCCGGATCGCTGTGCTAGCCGGTGGTGGCAGGCATCACTGAGACAAGGCTTCTCTCTCGCCTACCAGGGGCCTGGTGCCCCTGCCACGCCATGGGTGCATTGTCTGCCCTGCCTTTTCTCAGGCAGGGTGTAAGAAATGCCTGAGTGCCCACAGCCCTGGCAGGAGGTGAGACCAGGCAAGTGCTGTATGCACCAAGCCATTAGGGTAGGTTTCTTCTAAAGCTTGGGGCTGTCAAAAGCTGTTGTCCTGCAGCAGCCACGATGGGGAGTTGCATCCTTGGCCTTAGCGAAGCAAAATGATGTGCTCATCCAGCCTTGCAATACTCCGCTTGTCCTGTGCTGGACTGCTCTCTAGCCCTCCAATAGAGTTTGGCAGAAATGAATTGTGAAATCAGAGAGGCTTCCCTTATTTTATTCAGCCCCAATTGCCCCACACCCTCAAGCACCAGGCCCTGCAAACACCTAGCRCATGCCCTCGCAATCAAGGGCAGGAGCGATGAAGGCCTACGAGAGATCTGCAAACTTTATATTTTGCCGCAGGCAGTAGGTAACCTGCATGGCTAATGGCATCAGAGCAGTTTCAGGGCTGCCCCTGGCCACGCTGCATTTCCTTGACTCTGCTACAGGACACAGAAAGCAGAGAGGAGTTTTWATGTAAGGTTTATCACAGGCCCTCCCACCTCTTCAGCTGGAAGAGCAGCAAACAGAGCGCGTGGCCCAGCCGAGCCAGCCAGGCCCCTGTCTTGCTGTCAGCGACGCAGGGGGCTCCCCACTTCYGCACAGGCCAGGAGGAGCCACGGCCTCCCTTTGCAGGGGGAAAACACATGCAGCGCAGAGGGAAGAGATTTARCTACATTTGCAGGAGCGACTCCCTCTTACAGAGCAGCAGCGCTGCTCAGAGATGAAGAACAGCTTAAAAAATGCATCACTCGGAGTGCGGGGGCGTGCGCAGCCACGTCCCGCTCACCTCAGGGCTACCCGAGTGCCTTGGACTGAGCAACCAGAAATGAAACCAGGCAGAAGCAAAGCCCCCTTGCAGGGTTCGCCTGTGTGGTTCACCCCAGACCATGCCGTGAAATCCACAAAACTGAGGGTCTGACGTGTAACTGCAACTCCTGAACTCCAGCTGCTGGAGGGAGATCACCACCTCCACGCTGCATTGCTGACATGGCAAGAGGGGACACAGCTAGATTTCAGGGCAGGGAGAATGGCCAGAGGCACTCAAATTGACTGAAACATTGCCCAAAACAYTTTCCCCAGACCTTATTTACACTGTGAAGTTTTGAACATCAGTTTCACCCAGAGGAAAAAGAAAGTATTTATATTTAATGGCCAACATTTAGGCTGCTTTAAAATGAGCTGAGACATTGCAGTTTGAAACACAGATAAAATCCTAACTGCCCTGGCAGCGAGCAGCAGTGCTGAAGCTGGCATCTGCAGCTCATCTAAGTACTTGGGCTTTGCTCAGCCTGCATTGCACCCACAGATCAGTATGCCGGTCTGTGGAAAATTCAGGTGCCAGGACAATTCCCAGGCAGCACCGCTGATGCCAAGGAATTCCCACTTGTGCCATGGGCGGAGGGGTTAGGAGATGGAGGAGGAGGAGGAAGCACCAGAAAAAGTCCCATGTTAAGACAGCTCAATGTGTTTCCAGATTTTCAAGACATCTGTCAGCGAGCACCACAGTGTACAGCAGCTAATCCCTCTGCAGATTTTCTTTTAACTGTTGCTTGACAGAAGAGCACGCCAGTTTTATCATAAACCTGCCAGGGTCTGATGTCACGCTCCGCCTGGGGTTACGATCTGTCTTCAAGGAAAATCATTGTGCTAGCAGCTTGGAAGAGACATCAGGGAGAGGTTACACTGAGGAACGTGCAGCAGCTTCGAGCTGTAAAGTAGGTGCAGAGCGAAAGGCRTTTCCCCAAGATGCACAAGTCCAGAGGTGAGGCTTTGGAGCCCTAACTATCAAAATCAGCCTCAAGTTCCAACTCTGTGATGCTTTGCTGGTTGATTCAAACCTCACCCACTTTAAGTATGTGCCAGAATGAGGTCCACAGTGATGAACCTGGCCTTTGCAATTACTGATGGTAGAGCAGCAGTACACCTTTTTTTCCCCTTCCCCACTGGGCAGAGAAGCGATATAGA